GGATCATACTTTTAAATACCCCAAGCATACCCACCAGCTTCTGTCGGCGAAATCGGAAAAAGTGTTATGAGTGGTTTTAATCAGAATTCGTTAATTCCTCAAGTAAATGATTTGTTACATAAAATTTAAAAATAAATATGTTAATACCTAAATTGATACACTCTTTTTCGGCAAATGGGTTGGAGAAACCATCAGTCCTATATTCCGGGATGCAATCGTGCATTCCGGATCAAGATTTACTAACATTATTATTCATTTAGCAACATTTCGCATAAGTGTTTTCGCATAAGCAGTTAGTGATATCTAATATGTGTAATATATTGATATGGAGAAAGTTAGTGATATTTTTAGTTAGTGATATCTAATATCTGTGATAACGGGTTTTCTAATTTAACTCAAACATTTCTTTTAATGAAATTAACTTTAGCAGATTTTCAAAAATTATTTAGAACTATATGGATCTAAAATATTCCTTTGAACTAGTGCTTTTCAACCTTTTCTTGACCACTTGACTACTTTGGCTTCTTTATTTGTACCAAATGACCATAAAGTTCAAAAATAATAAATTCTATTAATTTGAAGATAAACTTTAATCAAAATTTTAATTTATAAAACATTGATAAGAATAACCTTCCGTTTTTTTTCTCCTTCATCGCGCCACCATCCTTTCGGATCATTCTTGCAGTTACCTATGATTAATAAATTATCAGGACTATAGTTAACACTTGAGAATCACTACCTTAAATAAAAAAATCTATAAATTATCATACCATTATTTATTTTCCTCTCTAAATTTTTGTTCTATTTAGGTGCTCGAATGCGTTTTGGTAGCAGCAATGTTAGTGGACAATATGGTCGAACAATTGATGATATCTTTTCGGCGCAAGAATATCGTAATTAGGCATGTTTTGATACGGGAATTAGACCGGAGGAACGACAATCAAGATGGTCACATACATACGGTGAAAAACCTGGTGCATCAATTCGTAGCTCATCGCTTCCATCAAGGGCTATGTTAACTGCTGTTAGTTGTATTTAAAATTTCAATAAATTTGATTTTTCGAAATTTTAAAGTAACAAGCTTTTGCACAAACTTTTAAAAAACTTAATTTTTCAATTATATATTACAATATAAACAAATAGATTGCATAAAATATAACTTTTTTGAAAACCTTTGTGCAATTTTAAAAAGAAAAAATAGAAGTTTT